TATACTCTTAATATTAAGTTTATTTGAATTTTGAAATGATTAATTTTTTGTTAATAGATTAATAATATATTATTTTGATTTTAATATTGTTAATTTTTATTTATTTGAAATTATTAATTATATTATATATTTTTATATTTTAGCGCCTCGCTTCGCTCGGGCGAGCGCCTGGGCGAGCGCCTAGCGCCTCGGGCGTTTGTGGACCTTGGCGCCTTTTGGCGCCTAGCGCTTTTTAAATCACTGCAACAATGGATATAGCACTATGAATTTACAAAACATGCCACATGAGTTGGTCTCATTAAAATGGTTAAAAAATTTTCCCTGCAAGGTTAAATATATACAATTGTTTACAAGTAGCTCATTCAGTTTACTCTAGAATTGCAATAATAAGGAGCATAATTAACTGTTTACAACGAACTTCGAGATCCAAGAGTTTCTTCAGGAATTTAAACTGAGATTCAGGATTTAGAATATCCTCGGATTTGTTTGATATATAAAGGATAGTTCTGAACAGATCTTTTTAAGATAAGCAAGTGATTATTTGTTTTGGTGGCAAATGATCAATCTTTCATTTGCTGACACATATGAGAGAGAAGAATTTCTCTAAATTTTTTATTGTTGTGAACTTGCTGATACTCCACTTTATACTTTGTTTCTTGGTACAATTATCTTGGAGTCTAAGGAGGCCTTTTAGAGCTGTTTCTATTCTATTCTTAGTTCTGATGCCTACTGATGAGATGCCTATCTACATCAAAAGAAGGTATAGCATGGAAAGTTATGCCTTGCATTTTATATCATGCAAAAGAAAATACCATATCAGATTTTTTTTATGCACAAATGTTTTGCAATTAGTATTATAGTGGTCATGGAGCCAATGTACTTGTATTTTGGTTGTTAAATATTCATTCCTGGGTCAACCTGAGCACATTTTCATTTTGGGAAAGAAATCAAGTTCCTTCTTCCCCTTGGTGAGAACCTTTATGCTGTTTTCAATATCAAGGACATAATTGATTTCTTATATAACTCACCTTTTTTTAGAGCATTTTTGAAGGAAAGAAAGGCTGTTCTTCTTATGATTGTAAATTTGAACTTTGCAAGACTAGAAGAAAGAATACATTCTGTCATTCTTGTAACAGTTTAATATCTTTTGATAAGTTTGAAACAGGTGTATTACATTTTCCATATGTGCAGATATTATATGACCACAAAAATGAAGTTTGGTTTGTTCAGTTTTCACATAACGGGGATTACTTGGCATCGTCCTCTCGTGATTGCACTGCCATCATATGGGCGGTATGACTTTGCAACTAGTATGTAACAAATACTATAGTGCTTTCCCTTACAATCTTTTATTATCTGTATTTAGTGATAGATTGTTAGGATTCTTGAATTGTTTGTGTTGTATTAGTTTTCCTTGGTAAGCAAAAGATTAATTCGTAGAAACTTATGCACAATAGAAACTATGTAGGTTCAGAAAAAAAAAAGATCAGCTCATTCAAGTTTATGTTACTGGAGTCTAGCTAATCCAATTATATTTCTTGATTTTTTTTCAACCTTAACAGATATTGTTTAGTTATGTTTCTGTAAAATTATTCAAGGATCATATTGAGCACGACCCCTAACATTAGATGCAGCTGCAGGTACTGTTATGTAATATGCACACATACACGAGGCTGGTTTCATCTGTGTATTAAAGTGTCTAATCATCCTTTAAGAGGGAAAGTATATTGAGGGGCCACATAAAATATTTAGAACTAAATTTAATAACTATGCTAATATTTAGATTGGAGACCATGTTAACTAAATCTAGTAAAATTTAACAAAATTTTTTTCTGATAACTTTATAAAACCGACTTCTTATAGATTTAATATTTTTATTATTTAGATGGAAGGCAGCGGCTTCTCATTTGGTTTGTCTTGATGAAATACTCTCTAACTTGTGTGCTATATTTAATTAGTTTGTTCAAGTGCAACGAATCTCATGAAAAATTGTCTTCAATAGTTATTTAGCATTTGAAGGTGCTCTGTAAATTTGATTTTATATGAATGGTTTTTTATCATAGACAAAGGTTTAAAAGGAAATAGCATTGGTGATAACAAAGAACAAATATTTGATTTTTTTTCATTTTTCAACAAATTATAGGTGAACAAAGATGACAGTATATCATTAAGGCATGTTCTGGAGGGCCACATGAAACCTATATCTTTTCTAGCATGGAGCCCAAATGATAGAATGTTACTTACTTGTGGTAATGGAGAAGCCCTAAAGTTATGGGATGTTTGTGATGGCATGTGCAAATTCACATTTACTGGTGGAGCAAATCGTATCATCAGCTCATGTGCATGGTTTCCAGAATCTGAGAAGATAGTTTGTGGCAGCTGGGAGCCTGATAATCGAATCTTCACATGTGATTTAGAGGGAAATGAGCTGGAAGTTTGGGAGGGAGAGAGGATGCCAAAAGTTACTGATCTTGCTGTGACACCTGATGGGCGGTGTTTGATCAGTATATGCTCCAACAAAGAAATTTTAATACGTGATTTCCATAGAGGAAATGAATGGAAAATACATGAAGAACACTCTATAACCTCACTCTCTCTTTCAAGTGATGGACAGTTTTTGATTGTCAATTTAAACAGTGAGGAGATCCATTTATGGAATATTAATGTGAGCTCAAGCTTGCCAGATAAATTTAGAGGGCACAAGCAGGGAAAGTATGTAATTCGGTCATGTTTTGGTGGATCAAATTCTTTATTCATTGCCAGTGGTAGTGAGGATTCACAGGTGATGTTTCTTTTAACATTATTTTTCTTTTAAATTTTAATGCTTGCATCAGTTATTTTTCTCATTAGTGCAACCATATTTTTAATATATATGGATCTTAATATGTTTTGTTATCCTACTGTACCTTTTAGGTTGTTATGCCATTCTAATTTGCATTAGTTTTGTACAGAATACTAATAATGAATCTTGAACTATTGGTTCTTCTTGGTGGTGACCTAGATTTATGTTTATAATTCTTCTTTTAGTTTCTTAATGGCAATGCTAATATTCTAGCTCCCAAGTTTATATAGATTTAATGCAAATTTTGTAGGGAAGAGTTTATGAACCTTGATAGCTCTCTAAGCAGTGCCTAAAGCATAGAAAGAGACCTTTAAAAGAGTTTCTAAAAATATTAGATATTTTTAATGTGCGAACTTGTAGAACCTAATATACTTGTTTTCTGATTTTTTTTAATGCCCCACTGCATGTGCACTTGCTATATTTATTATTCATTCACGACTAATTTCATATTACAGTTCAACTTTATTACTGATCTGATCATATTTTTATTATATTTCTTGAGATAAGAGTTGATGTTTATGGTTGGATATAAATCTAGAACTGAATCTTGGGAGTTGCATCCTTTCCTTTTGTTTCTTGATAAGATTATTGGCTGTTCCATGTTTTTTTTATCATGTTTTAATTTGCATACTTGGTTGGAAACATTTTCTGCTAGTAAACTTTTTTAACAGGAACATGTACAGGCAGCATAGTTGATATTTGCTGTTTTCCAATCTTTAGTATGAGTTAATGCTTACCTGACCTGTAAAAATGGTTCTTGCATATGTTAATATGTTTCTTGCTGCTGCTGATATTTGCCACATGTTTTTTTTTCTGTGGCAGTGCAGCATAACAAAGTTATGTACTTCTGTACTGTCTACTGTATGCCTCTCAACCACATGTATGATATTAAGAAGCACACAAACTGCCCTGATTATAGAGATGCGTCGGCATGGGCATGGTACTGTACCACTGTTGAGTGACGTGTAGCACGAGTTACCTAGATCATTGTTCTTGCCATGGTTCCAAATAATACTTGGACCAGTGTATGCTGAGCAGTATTTGATGCTAGCTCGATGGTGAACTGGCACATGAATCAGCCCTTTTCGGATGGTCCTGAACTCCTGATCAATCCTTTTCGAGTGGTTTAGTGAAGGTCAGCTTTTTTTCTATTTAGGATTATCACATCGCCTCTTTCTCAATCTTTCTCATGTAAGGTTTGTCCGTCAATCTCTCTCACATTATCCCTCCTCCTTAGACACCCACAGCCCATTGCCACCAATCAGCCGCTCGGGCCCCCACACTGGTCCACCTGCGTCTGACTTCGATTACAAAACCAGCAGTTTCGATTCCAAGGTTTTGGGAGTCGGATTCGAGTAGCTCTGATTCTACATTTTTATTTAAAAAAAAATTAATTTTTAATTAAAAATAATTTTAAGTAACAAAAGGATCATAATTGTATTTTTAAATTTTGATTAAAGTGCCACTTTGAAAATCAGATTTATTTCTATACACATAATAACATAAAAATAGATAAAAAATAAAAACATCAATCATCACTAGTGTTGGATGTCCTAATCATTCCTTTCATTGATAGATCGAATAAGTTTTTATTGTCTTTGTGGATGATCACGTGGCTCCGTTGCTCCTCCTTGGTCTAGTAATAAACACATGCTTAGGCTACACATAATAACATAAAAGTAGATATAAAAAATAAAAACATCAATCATTGCTAGTGTCGAATGTCTTGATTATTCCTTTCGTTTATAGATCAAATAAGTCTTCATTGTCTTCATGGATGATCACTTGACTTCATTGCTCCTCCTTGGTCCAATAATAAATGCATGCTTATGCGTTAGCTGATTCAGGGCTCATACTTGAATGAGTATCATCCAGGATACGCCCCTCGTGTTGAAAGCTTGCTCCACAGCTATCGTTGACATCAGATTTGCTAATATTTGTCTTGCACTGATGGCTAAAATTTGGAAGGTTGTTGAATGGTGTACCCACCATTGAAAAGTGGAAATCCTACCTGTAGTGCTATTACCAAACTCAAAAGAATTTATTATATTAGTATCAAGTTGGGAATTCGAGCTTGATTATTTACTTGGATTCTTTTATCGTTGCAATAATAATTTCTCCCCTCTACTAATTCTACTACTTTAATTACTAACTTGGTCCATAGATTGAGAAGATTGGGAGCTAACTTATTGTCTATTATAAGTTGCACTATAATGGTCATATAAGTTTATGATATTTTTTTTAAACTTTTCATCATTTTTTTCATCAATATCGAGATCTAAATATAAACGATCAAACGGTGTTACATATGGACAACCATCATCCTGTGGATGTTGCATCGCATCCAACGGTGTTGCCTCCCCCTACAAATCTTGACCTACTTGCGGTTAGAAGTCCGATCGCTTCTTCCCACATCAACATCCCTTCCACGATGTGCTCTTCTTCCTTACTAGAGCTTTCTTTTAGTGTTGGAGCCTCGTCGACGGCTGACGCGGGAGTCTTGATAAATCTCGACGTTTCAAGCATGATCTCCTCCACAATCTTGTGCGTGATTGCTCCTCCTAAGTCATGCATGTTTCCTTCCTTAGAGACGAGTGCGTTACCACCCTCAAATTCCACAAGTGACATGAACCCTTCCCTCGTTGACTAATCCACAGTGTCAAAAGTCTAGCATGGGTCCCCTCCTCTCCTCCAATCAACAAGTTCAAGCGAATGATGGTGTGGCATCGAATGCTTCCCCCTTGGATCCTAATATTGTTGCGAAGTGTTCACTCGTTGCACATGGGATGAAGGGTGTTAAGGTGGCCTAGACCTCTTTCAATATTGCCCATCTTGCAAAAAGGGCTAGTATGCTCAGGAATAAGCCTTCGAGTTCTTTTTTTGCATCTTTATCTTGCGCTAAAAACTACTCTCTTCTACGAGGAACCAATATTCTCAAATGAAGGCACTCTTAAAATTAAAGCAATCAAGGAGGAAATACTCAAGGGAGAGGAGTACGGAAAGAACTCTCTGATTGGATACTTTGTTAGTTCACGATCATCATTTCATGTTGTTAGAAGCCGAGTAAATACTATCTGGAACCTATTGGATCCCTTGATGTCTTCTTTTTGGAAGTGGGTTTCTTTCTATCAATATTTAGCAATAAGGAGGATCTCACAAGAGTCAGAGTTCGGACTAACATTCATAATAAACTCATTCTTCATCCTTGGGATCATGACACTCGTTTGGAGAAAATCAATTTTTTGAATTATTCCTTTTTGGGTGAAATTCTACAATCTCACCCTTTTCACGTGGACTCTCAAATTTCTCAATTCTATTATTAGTGGCATTGCCAAACACCGATTTATAGATTAACTAATAAGCAATATTACAAGCTTGTAATATGAAAAGGGGGAAGCTTGTGACATGAAAAGGGGTTTGTCAATGCCACTAGCAATGAAACTAAGAAATTTGAGAATCCACTTGAAAAGGGGGAGGTTGTAGAGTTTTACCCAAAAAGGAATAGCAAATTATCAATTTTCTCCAAACGAGTATCATGGTCCCAAGGATGAAGAAAAAGGAGTCTATTGTGAATGTACCATGGTTCAGACTTCATAACTTTGGTGAGATCCTCCTGATTGCTAAATTTGAATATAAAGAAGCCTGCTTCCAGGGAGAAGACATCAAGAGATCTAACTATTTCCTGACAGTATTTACTTGGCTTCTTATAACATGAAAGGGTGGACATGAACAAACAAATTAATCGATTAAAGAGTTCTTCATGTGCTCTTCTCCCTTGAGTATTTCCTCCTCAATCGTTTTAATTTTAAGAGTGCATTTATTTGATAATATAGGTTCCTAGTGGAAGAGTGTAGTTTTTAGCGCAGGATAAAGATTGCAAACAAAGAACTCCAAGGCTTATTCTCGGGCATACTAGTCTTTTTTGCAAGAGGAATGATATTGGAAGAGGTCTTGGCCACCTAAACACCCCGTATCCCATGTGCAATAGGTGAACCACTTCATAGCAACATTAGGATCCGAGGGGGAAGCATTCGGTGCCACATTAACATTCTCTTGAACTTGGTGATTGAAGGGGGGAAGGGGACCTATGCTAGACTTTTGACACTATTGATTAGTCAGCAGGGGAAAGGATCCACATCACGTGTGGAATTCGGGGGTGATAACGCACCTGTCTCCAAGGAAATGCATGCAATCTAGGGAGAGCAATCGCTCATGAGATTAAGGAGGAGATCATGCTTGAAATGTCGAGATTCATTGGGATTACTAATCTGTTGATTGTCGACGAGGCTCCAACACCAAATGAAAGATCTAGCAAGGAAGAAGTGCATATCGTGGGAGGGATGTCGATGTGGGAGAAGCAATCAGACTTCTAATCGTGACCAGATCAGGATTTATAGGGGGAGGCAACACCATTGGATGCAATGCAGGTTGTCCACACGTAACATCGTCGATCCCTTCGCGGAAGAGATCACGAGTGAAGAGGATGCTCAAGGAGAAGCTTGCCCTTCGAGGAGTCCTCTATGTTAGGACTATGCATCGCTATGTGAGGAGACGAGTTAGGTTTCTCAATGACGACTCTTGACGCCCTCAAGAGAGTGGGGGCAGCCCGGCCTTTTGTAGCACCATAAGCGGGGCAGGGCTTTGTTGGTAGTGATGAACCGCTGACGGCTATGAAGGTGGTAGAAAACCCTAACAGAGCTTCTCTCTCTAAAATCAGCTTGCACAACTATGGATAAAAAATACAATAGTTTGTCGGCATTATTTGAAAGGGCAAATTTAGCCTTTTTTTCCTATTTTTATATTTTAAATTATAAAATAACCAAATGCCCCTTTAAATAGTGTTTATTTGGTTATTAGAAGGGGCAAATTAGTCATTTGCCCTTGACGCTTCTAACAGTCGGTGTTGGGCCTTAGCCTGATCCGTTGGGTCACCAAAACATTCGATCAACGGTCAATTTTGATCGTTGGCCATTTTTTTCTTTTTGTAATTGTTTAGGCTAACTGCTAAGCTGGTTTGGTTTGGGTTACAAGCCGATTCGGTCCAGGTTCAAGTTGAATTGGCACTAGGTCTTTAGGCATGACCATGGTTTGGTTCGAACTAGAATCAAATTAGATTGGATTCGGCTTGGCAGTATGTCGATTCGGAATGTAATCGAAACCGAAGCCCTATTCGATTTCGGTTTGGTCCTAGTTCAAACCGAACCAGGACCAGGTCTACTAGGCTTGACTAAAGTTCACTTCAAATTGGAATTGAACCGGAACCCAACCTGGTTAGAATCAGAACTGAATTAGCCTACAGTTTATTGGTTCGGAACCAAACTAGAATCAGGCTTGGGCGGTTTGGTTTTGGTTCCAACTGCACAGATTTGGAATCGAAACCTTTCCAATTACTAAATAGCAGCTAGTTGGGGGGTATTTTGGGAAGAAACAATCTCAAAATATCTATAAATACCTCCTAAACTTCTCATTCCTTCTCACACCAATTCATTAAGCAATCATAATACTCTCATAAGGTCTCTAAGTGCAATATTCTTTGCAATAGCATTCTCTCCCTCTCCTAAGGTCCTCATGCATGAATGTTGAGGCCAGTGCGTTGAGCTTATGCAAGTGATTTGCAACTACTATTAGATTTTTCAAATTTAAAGGAGGTGAATATGAAACATTTAGAATGATCTTAAGGACTAAGGGAAGGGGAGCAAGCATAAACAAGGTCCCTCTTTGGATTTTTTTTTATTACTTCACTTTGGAGCATGAGATACCTACATGATAACTTGATATGGAGCATGATGGAGTTTCTATTAACTGTTAGAAAATGGTGTCATTTCCTCCGCTGTATTAGGAATAAATGGAACTCTTACAACATTTTGGGGAGTCATTTACATACATACAAAAATGAAGGTTAAAGGTTATAGTCTTTTGCTGTGCCCCTTTAGCTGAGATATTGTAACATGGTACATATTACACGTCCCATATATCATATTGGTGTGTTAATTTAACATACTAGAATAATCCATGTCATGGATTCAGGCCTTGTATCTATTGGATATCCATCTGTATGGTATGTACAAGGTGTGTATTGTGGCAACTAGCAACACCTAAATTCATGATATATATTCTAGACTAAGAAGCACAGACACGTTGATTTGGTGGGCATATCCGTGTTGGACACAGATATGCAACCGACATGGCCAGACACGTGTCTATTATTTATTTATTTATTTTAATTTTAGACATACATATTCGTGTCAGGATAACTCTCTCCCATTGGTCCACGCCCTTCCTCATCTCTCTCGCATCCTTCCTCGCTCACATGATGTGCATGCGAGCCTACGGTATCGAGGTAGCAACTTTATGCTAGGCCCATGTCCCTTCGAGAGTGATGGAGAAAATGACCGCATTGTCATTAGGTCTAGTGGAGTCACATTGTCGAGGTAAGTATTTTTTTTTAATTTATTTGTAATCGGTGCAAGGGGTCAGAGACTTGGATTAGTTCAATGGATGAGGGTCCACATGGGGCCCATTTGATGGTCAAAGGCGAGTGGTGGGTTTAGGCAATGATTAGCATGTTAACATTTCTTCTCCCTTCTTCCTGAATTGCAATTCGAGGAAAGAGCAAGATGTCAAGCGTGGGAGAGAAAGATGTGAAGCGTGATAATTCATCGATTTGCTACATTAGTCTCTAGAAAAGTTGGGAATACTAGCATTTTATGTATACTAGATGTTATTTACACACTAAGAACAACACTCCAAGTGACATAGCAGTACGAAAGCTCAAGAGAAATTGTTATTTACATACCAAGAACAACACACCAAGTGACTTAATAGTACAAAACCTCAAGAGAAATTATAGCTGGAATATGTATATATATAGCCTAAAAGCCTGGAGCACTGGGAATAGTGGTCTAGAGCTTGCATGGGAGTAGAGGCATGAAATCTTGGGAGTTTGAAGATTTCTTACGGAACCTAGAGATTTCGTTAAATTGCAACCCTTAGTCACCGATAGCAGAACGCCAATCCTATAACAGGATTAGAATGCCAGTGGTAATAAGGGATCCCAGGCTTCCAACAGTAGAAATCGTGAACTTGTATGATGATATTTATCTGTTCACATTGTTGAGTCTATAAAATTTAAGTATAAATACTACAAAACTTATGTTAATCGAATATTAGTGTTAATCGAATTATATATATATATATATATATATATATATATATGTGTGTGTGTGTGTGTGTGTGTGTGTCCTAATTAAAAAAAAAATGACGTGTCGCTGTGTCTGTACTTAGATTCTAGATTGTCACATACATGGGCATATAGATTTGTAAGGAGGATTTTTCTGTTTACGTTTAAATAGAATGACCAATCATGCTAATGCAATATAAAGTCCCTTGGACAGTCTCTTTTTCTATTGTTATGGTAGCTGTTCTTTTAGTGGTTCTTAAATGGAAAAAATCAGATCTCTTAACCTAAATGTAAAAAAGATAAAGATCAGAAGAAATTTGCAAATATTAATTAGCAATTAGTTGTAGTAAGGCACAATAATGAGAATAATACGGTTCCTGCCCTTAAATGTATAATTGGTCATCAACAAAAAGAAAAAAAAAACAACAGATTTCAAGCTTTAATTTGAGGCAACGATTTACTTATTGGAGAAATATGATATACAAAATCAGATTTGCAGCACTTCTTTGATGTCAATGTAGTTGTAATTTTGCTCTACATCACACATACTGCATGTTTCGATTCCTTGGGACATGGTCTTTAAGACATCTGGTTCATGTATGTTTTTGCAACACTAAACAGATATTTCTTTCTTTCCTTTTTTTGTGTAGTGGTAACATATCCAAGATTATGCTAGAACTTGAAGCTAAAGAAATCGGACAATGTACATTAAGATCTAAATCTCTTTCTGTGTTGATGGTACACACCTATTCAGTGCAGTATGCAGTATTTTTTTATTTTCATCTGTGGCGCTTGATTATTAAGATGAAGTGGATACAATATTCTTGTCTGGTTACAAAATTTGATGGACTGAATGTTACCATACCAATTATCAGCTGAAAACAGATTGGTTTGTTGCCATTAAAAAAAGTACAATATTTGGAGATGAAACATGATCATATAACGATCAATAGCTTCTTGAAAGCACAACTAAAGTTGTCTACTTTTTGGAAATGTTTATTTTTTGGTTTAAATCAATGCAAGAGTTATTTGTAAGGTTAGACTGATTAAAAAGCTGGAGTCATGATCGTTTTATGTTTCATCATTGAGATTGAAGGTTATATGAAGGTTTTATGTTTCTTGATTTGTTTTGACATGAATGCATCTTCTTCAGATCTATATATGGCAGCGACACCGTGAAACGCCGATAAAGATCCTAACTGGCCATTCGATGACTGTGAACTGCGTGAGCTGGAACCCTGCAAAGCCTCGTATGCTGGCATCAGCAAGCGATGACCGAACAGTTCGAATATGGATGGCTAACGTAAATAACAACACTAAGTTTCATATGTGACTGAGACCTACTACATCCTTTTCTGCTTCCTTTTTCATCTGTAAATAGATGTACATCATAATTGTAATTTGTGTCTTTCGATCTAACATTGTTTTTGCGCAGATTTTCCAATAATTCAAGCCTTTGTCAGAGAAATTGTTGTTTGTATAATAATGAGACCCGAATCTCTCTGAATATTTTTTAGCTTGGTACGGGAGGTTAGGATGATCAAGATCCAATGGGCATTTTGGTAATGGTACTATTAAGACCAAGGTTCTTTATTTCGTATCATATTGACGTATCGAGCTTGATATGGTATGGTATATATATATATATATATATGCGGTGTCAGATTGAGAAGTATCGAGGTTCTCTTGATTCTCCCTCTTCTTTAAACGTCTTCTCCCTCGATGCTTCTTCCCTCGTCGTAGCTAGGTCGCCAAGCTGATATCGCTCGGTTGTTGATAGCGACAGTTGAAATCGATTATTATTGATCTGTTTCGGGCGATAACGATTAGCGCTCGATATTATCGTTGTCGCCTGATACAGTCTCATATCGTCTTGATACGAGCAGTATTATTTGAAATTAAAATATTTGATTAATATTATTTTATCGTCTTGATACGAGCAGTATTATTTGAAATTAAAATATTTGATTAATATTATTAAAATATTTGATTAATATTACTTTCAGTAATCCCTGATGAGAACTGTTTTATGCTTAAAACTTTTTTTTTTTTTTGGCAAGAAATGTTGTATGCTTATGAAACTAGTGTTATTTTCTCTTTGGTGAGGAATATTTTAGTACATCATTTAGCATGCATTAACAATTTCTTCAAAACTAAAGGGGGGTATAAAGCATTGTCTTCAGGATATTGATAAGGATTTCTAGGACTTAAGATAAAGATGAGGACAATTAATTTTTGACATTATGTGATGAAATGAATTTGATGATTTGAAATTATGCATGAAATACTCATGATACTATGTCGATGCATAAAAATGAGAAGTTATGATTTTTTATGATGTGAAAGTTAATAATTATTATTTTCTGAAATGATACCATATTGCAATTAAGAATGATACTCTATATTTGTGTGAAAATTGATAAAAAGGAAAAAGAATTACAACATTGTATTCTTCTCTTCTATTTGACAATGACATAGGGGGGAAAATTTTGCTAGTTTGCTAGCTTGCATACTTCAAGAAGAAGCAAAAAGCTTGCTCATCTCAAAATGATGTAAAAATCTTGCCAACTTTCATATGTGTAAAATTTGCTAGCTCACAATTTGTAAAGAGAAAAACTTCTTGCTTGCTAGCACATCTAAAGAGAAGATACAAACTTACTTCATGTACATTGCTTTATGTAAAACATTGTATCTTGCTAGCTTGTTATCTTGCATTATTTTTTAAAATCTTACTAGCCTTTATACTTTAAAGAGAAGTAACACTTGTCAAATTTCTAGCTTGTATGTTGTAAAATAAAGCAAAACTTGCAATTTGCACATTGCAATAGGAAGCAAGAAACTCTAGCTTACACACTTCAACAAGAAAGCTATCTTGCATTTGCTTTCGAAATTTTTGCTAATTGTATATTGTAAACTTGCTATCTTACTACCTTTCATATCTAAAACTTGATAGCTTGCATGATGTAATACTTGCTAAATTTTCTAGCTTACAAATTGCATGATGATAAAACTTGATATTATGTTTTTTATGCAATGATTTGAACTTGCATGTCTATACACTTGATAGTTGGACTTCTCCCTTTTGTTGATGACGAAGGGGGAGAAGTACGATGATGTTATGCATAAGTTTATGATAACATGTTGCTTGGATTTTTGAATCCAAGAGTTCTATCAATATGGTATATTGATAGGGGAAGTTTGGTTAAACTTTGGGAGTTAAGGTTAACTCCATCAATTGGTTGTCATCATCGAAAAGGAGGAGATTATTGAATCTTGGATTTTGATGATGAAACCAATTGATAGTATTTATAATTTGATCTGTGTTTTGAGTGACGTAGGATACTTCGATCAGTGAGAGACAATTAAAGTAGGAAGAATCATGTTGGGCCAGAGGAAAACATGTCAGAAGATTGGACGTCGGGCCGAAGGATCGGTCAACGTATCAACAGAAGGATTCGGACCATGGATTCGGGCATCGGGCCAAGAAGAGCGGATATTGCGCCAAGGTTATCACAGTTGCGGAGGTCAACTAGCCGATTGAGCAATAGGCTGTAAGAGGGGATAATGCGCCGAAGAATCAAACGAAGCGTCGATGGACCAATGACATGCCGGACGACATGATTCATGCTTAGTAATAATTGTCTAAATCGAAGTGTGTTTTTTATGTGTGTAGGATTAACTATGATAGCAAGGTATAAAGCAAAATGAAGTCCCGGAGTCAAGAAGGCGATTTCGTTGGGAGTTCGAGAGTTCGTTGGAAGTCCGGACGTTCATCGAAAGTTCTGCCGGAACCAACCGAGAAGTTCAGGTGCTTGCTAAAGGAGCTCACCGGAACTCGCCAAGAAGATCATCGTGAAGTCCAAGAGTTTGTTGGGAGTCTGCCGGAACATTGTCGAGAGATCGTTGGAAGTTTGCTGGAAGAAATCAGACTTATCTTGCTTAGATTATGTCTTAGGAATCATAGTTAACACATAATTGGAGTTGGGATTGGGAGGTAATCCCATCAACTCTGTTAGGGGCCAATTGGGCTCGAAGTTGGGATGGTTTGGGCTAGATTCAAGGCCCAACCAGGGTGTTGAAACCCTAGTCGGTGGTGGCACCGCTTGGGGAACAACACCCCAGGAAATCTGGGCGGTGATACCACCCAGGCTGGGTGATGGTACCATCGGCAGTAATGCTGCCAGCGGTGGTACCGCCCAGTGGCAAGTCTTGAGGCAGTAGTACCACCCAAGAACGACTTTGGTACCGTTAGTACCCAGGAAATCTGGGATGAGACATTTTTAGGCTCCAAGTTTGAATCAACTTGAAGCTTATAAATACCCCTCTCATCCCTGATTAAAAAACACACAACTGAGAGCAAAAAAGAAAGAAAACTCTATTGCAATTGTGTGTGAAACTCTCAAAGTTCTAAGTGTTAGAATTGTTTGAGAGAGGAGTAAGTGGGGGTGTATGGGTTATCTTCTAAACCCAGTAAAAGGATAATCGAGTTGTAAAAGGTGGTTGATCTTCACATATTGAAGGAAGACCGATAGTGGATGCCGACGGCCTTGATGGAAGAGGAATTGGCAGAGTGGATGTAGGTCACGATGACCGAACCACTATAAAAATCCAATTTGCCTTTACTTTTAGCAATTTACTTTTATAAGCAAACTGCTACTCCTTCTTACTGTGCTTCTACTACACCTATACTCGCATATGTTTTCAAGTTTCCAAAATCAGTTTTATCATACAAAACGAAATTTTCAAAACTGACGTTTTTACTACTGCACTAATTCACCCTCTCTTAGTGTCAACTCATTCCTAACAATAATAGCCTCATCCTAGGTCTAAGGATCAATATCTTCAATATACTCTCTTCTAATATGTCTCACATATCTCTCGGGAGGATAGGATACTCTGTTGGACCTACGTAAAGTCAGAACTTGTGTGCTAGGTACTTGAACAGACTCAGGCTGTGGAGTGGTGCTTGAGTTAGATTTCCAACCTCGCTCGACTCTATCACGCTCCCACTATCTCTGCTAAGAATGTGCTCCTTCTCAAGGAACACTGCTATCTTGGTTACAAAGACCTTTTGATCATCGGGATAATAGAAATGTTACCCACAAGTTTCCTTGGGGTATCCCGTGAACTTGCATCGCTTTGTCCTCGATTCCAACATAGGCAAGGCAACCCCAAATCTTAACAACCTTAAGATCAGGCTTCTTCCCTTTCTATATCTCATATGGTGTAGACACTACTGACTTAGTTGAAACTCTATTCAGAAGATAAGCTGTAGTCTCTAGGGTATATCCCTAAAATGAGATGGGTAGGTTGGCAAAGCTCATCATAGACAGTACCTTGTCTAACAGTGTATGATTCCTCCTTTAAGATACACCATTGAGCTGAAGTATATAAGGAGGTGTCCATTGGGATAGAATCCCATAGTCCTTGAGGAACTGGGTGAATTTTGTACTCAAGTACTCACCTCCTCGATCGGACAAAGTGTCATAATACTCTTTCCAATCTAGTTCTCCACTTCATTCATATACTCTTTGAATTTTTCAAAGGCCTCAGACTTATACTTCATCAAGTACACATATCCATACTTTGAGAAATCATTAGTAAAAGTAATAAAGTTCGAGTAACCACCTATGACATTAGTTAACATAGATCAACATACATCACTATGTATGAGTTCCAACTATTGAATCTTAGATTTTGATGATGAAACCAATTGATAGTGTTTATCTGATTTGCATTTTGAGTGACATAGGAAGCTTTGATCAGGGAGAGAAAATTAAAGCAAGAAGAATCATGTTGGGCTGGAGTGGAATACGTCAGAAGATTGGATATCGAGTCGGAGGATCAGTCGATGTGTCAGCAGAAGACTTTGGGCCGAGAATTTGGGCATCGGGCCAAGAAGAGCAAAAATTATGCTAAGGAAATCGGAGTTGCGGAGGTCAACTAGTCGATTAGGCAATAGGCCACAAGAGAGGATGATGCACCGAAGAATCGGATGAAGCGTCGAACCAATGACATGACTGAATAATATTTGATGAGCTTTGTAATAATTGCCTAGATCGAAGTAGGTTTTAGGTCTAATTGAGGTGGTATTGGGGTGAAACAATGGCAACTCAATTCAGAGCCAATTGAGCTTAAATTGGGAGTGATTTGGGCTTATTGGGAGGCCCATTCATTGACCCAAATATTGGGCCAAGCGGTGGCATTGCCAGAATTAGCGGTAGAACCGCTTGTGAGTTGGAAAACTCAAAAAACTCGGTCTTCGAGACTGTCAGGTGGTGGTACCGCCAATCTAGGCAGTGGTACCACCTAGTGCCAGACTGCAGGCGGTGGTACCACCCAGTGCAGGTGGTGGTACCACTAAGTGTAGGTGGTGGTACCGCCCATACCCTGAAATCTCGAGGATTTAAATTTTGGGC